TGGCAGCGACCCAGCCCACAGCCCAGAGCTTGCAGCAAGCTGGGAACTTTCTGGATGAAACATGGGTACCGCATGTGGTACATCACCTCACAGCACCCACGTGTGCTGCACCTCCTGTAGCTGCATCCAGTGCCCTGGGAATCGCGGGGACACCACGTCCCAGACACACAGCTCCTGCTGCCGCCCCGGCAGTGCTGGGAGGGGGGAGGTGGCAGCTCCCATCCCATTTCACAGCCTCTCCCTACTGCAGCCTCAGTTTTCCTGCGGTGACATTTTCCAAGGGGGATGGAGCACGCTGTTCCCCATCCCCCATCACCTTTTGCCCCCGTTTTCTGCTGTGAAATCTCTAGGGGAGAATTTACTGCTGACTGTTTCAAAATGTGTTTGACGCGGAAGCCAATTCTGTTGCATTCCTTCGTGCTGGCCAAAGCCACTCTTGGCTGAGGCCCCTGGAATGAGCTGTTGGGGAATTTGTTTTGCAAGAATAACTCAGTTTCTGTGCACACTTTTGCTTTGTTGGGGTTTTTTTTTGTAGGTTGTGAGCTCAGTCGGGGGGCTGGGACCCCTGGTCCATCTCCCCTGGGCACAGCAAGGCTGGGCTGGGAGGGACAGGGAGGAGCAGCCCTGGGCAGGGATGAGCCTGCAGCTGGAGCTGATGCCGCAGCCCCTGCACCGCTTCCTTTCCACGTGCATTTCCCGTTCACTGACTGCAGCTGAGAAATTGTTGCTTGGCAGGATGGACAAGAGCCTCCCGGGTGCTGCCTCCCCCTGTGCAGACCCGGGGTGCCCCTGGCCCCATTCCCCAGCACAGCGAGGCTGCTCCAGCCCTGGGGCTGCAGTTGGATCAGACCAGCCCGTGCCCAGGATGCTGAGCACAGGGTCAGGCTTTGGCTGTGCCCCTTTGCCCAGGGCCACCAGCCCCGGTGCGATGCGATGCCAGGAGGGATCCCGGCTGTCGGTGCCTGTCCAAGGACAGGCTGTGCCAGAGCGTGTGCCTCGCTGGTCTGTGGCTGCAGATCTGACCTGGCAGTCCCAGCCTTGCACTGTTGAACATGGAGCAGATCTCAGCAGATCCTCGATCATCCAACTGCCTTCAGAGCACAGGCGTCTGCAGGTGCGATCCCTCTTCCCCAGCCTGGCAGCTCCAAACCTGGTCCTGTATCCCAGGGAGGGAGGTTTGGTGCAGTTTTGGCTGTTAGAGCTCGTGGCAGGGTCGGTATGCTGCCTGCTGCCCCGGCTGCGCCGAACCGGCTGTTTGTGGGCAGGACTCGGCGCTGGACACGGCCTCTGCCTGCTCCGCACCCTGACAAACAGCACCAGGGTAGCGGTTCAAGGATCTTGACCTGAACTTTCTCGAGGCAAGCAATGATAAGTAAGTGATGCATTTTCACTGGCTGCTAATCATTAACACCTCGTTGCCTGTTCCCCCAGGTTCGGGCAGCTGCCCATCGTGCTGCAGTGGGCTCTGGCCAGGCACCCTGTGCCGCTGCCGCAGGGCTGCGTGTCCGTGTGCCAGCAGCCGTGGTGGCTGCCAGAGCTGGGGAAGGAGGTTTCTCCTGCTGGGCTGACCCTGTGTCCTCAGGCTCCTGGAAAAAGCTCTCCATGTTACTCGTTGACCGTTATCTCCTGGGGAGGAACGCGACGACAAAGCTGCGGGGCTGGACCTCCCGCCAGCAACGGTGTGGCTGGAGTGGGGAAGGGCCGTGGACAGGGTCCTGGCACCAGTGGGATGAGGGATGTGTTTGGCTCCATCCCCACAGGCAGGGTCTGCTGGGGCAGGTTTGCACAGGGAGGTTACCCCAGGGGAGCTGTGCTGGGAGGAATGCCTCCCCTCCCAGGGCACCTCCTTTGCAAAGGTCTTTTAACCCCACACCAGAGACCAGAAAAACGTGTCTGGCAGCCAGGAGCTCCCCATGGTTTGCTGGCTGGGGCTGTGGGGAGCTCCAGAAACGGCTTGGAAAGTTTCTCATTACAGAGTCCTGGTTGAATCAGCCTGGCAAATGCTGTGGCAGCAAAGTGGGTTTTCATCAGCTGGAGGTTTCAGCTGACGTGGGGGTGGTGGGCAGCCTCCCCCCATGCCACACACAACCCAGTCCATGCTCCTGGGCATCGCTGTGATGCTCCCATGGTGCTTGGGGTGATGGCAGAGGGATGGGAGAAATGTCACAACTCAGAGCTGTGGCAGGTCTGCAGGGACAGAGTGTGGGTGCTTGTATCTCCTCCCTGACAACAGGGGACGCCTGGCTCAGCAGGAGCAGCTGAACTGTTGTATCGAGGAGCAGGGGCTGCAGGATCCCCCCAGTGAGGCAGCCGCTGCTCACTGCGCTCCACGCGCCCTCAGAGCCTGTTTTTCCCTTTTACGTAAGTTGTTCCAAACGTGTTTGTAACAACCCCCCGGTGATGCACCTTTGGCAAAAGTGGTTTTGGGTCCAAAGATCAGTGCTGGGACAAGCGACCTGCCCGCAGCAAACAAGAGCCCGCAGAGTATAAAACCCCGGCGGCACGGGGGAGCGCGGGCCGGGCTGAGCTGTGCCGAGGGGCAGGGGCTGCAGAGGAGGATGGAGGCCAACATGAACCTCCTGCACGACGCGGGCATCCGGGCAACACACTGGCTGCAGGAGCATTTCCAGGGCTCCCAGGACTGGTTCCTCTTCATCTCCTTCGCCGCTGACCTCAGGAATGCTTTCTTCATCCTCTTCCCGCTCTGGTTCCACTTCAGCGAGTCGGTGGGCATCAGGCTCATCTGGGTGGCCGTGATCGGTGACTGGCTCAACCTCATCTTCAAGTGGTGAGAGGCTCCAGGCCACAGGTCCCTCCGGGCGCGTTGGCACAGCTGGACTAATGCGGGCCAGATGTGCGCTCTCAGCCTTGATGCTGGTGAGACCAGCATCAAAGACCAGAGTTCGGCTCCCAGTTTGGCTGTTGGGACCAAACAACCAGCTGGATGCTGTGTCTGTTGGGATGCCCTGGACTGCTCATGGGTTCTTTGCCTCTTCCAGCTCCCAGGACAGAGCTGGAAATGCGGCTGCGCCCACCTGCTCTGGTGCCCAAGACCCCTACAGCTCCTGTTCTCCTTTCTTTTCAGGATCCTCTTTGGGGAGAGACCGTACTGGTGGGTCCACGAGACAGATTATTACAGCAACAGCTCCGCCCCAGAGATACAGCAGTTCCCGCTCACCTGTGAGACCGGCCAAAAAACCCCAGCCCCAGAGCCCCCCAACCCTGGCAGGGGCAGCCGGCACTTGCCCAGGTTCCCATTCCGAGTCTCAGTCCCCGCACAGAGGGAGGTGCTGGCATGGCCAGGGCTGTGGCTGGCAGCCCACTGGCCGCACATGCCCCTCGCTAGCTCTTGAGAGAGCCGTGGCGTTGGCCCCGGCGCGGTCCCAGGGGCGCCAGCCGTGCC